CATCTCATATTATATGTACAGCTTACAAATGTTTAATAAAGCATATGTAACTAGCCTGACAGAGGGCAAAAAAAAAACATTTTTTAAAAAATATGATTGCGGGTTAAAAAAAAAAAAAAAAAACAAAAAAAAAAACATTTTTTTACATTGTATAACTAGCCTGATAGAGGTCAAATAAAAAATTTTCATTTTACACTAAATGATCAAGTATATACTGTTAATTTCGCCATAATCTGATCTGATCTGACCAATTTTTGACGGACGCTATAAGAGAAATAGCAATCATCTTCATCATTTGCGTTAGCACACGAACTTATTTAGAAAGATTTATCGTCTCCAGTATTTTCATTGAACTCGACCAAATTAAAGAATTGGTTATCAAGTTCAGAGTAAAAAGCTGTTTTCCCTTCGTCATTCCTCATCAATCTGAAATTAGTTGCAATTATTGTGTTAGATTGACTCATTAAAAAACAGATTACATATAGTTTATTCATACTTGTCCTCTTCTGATTCTATCCCCTCATCTAGAGAATTGATTTCCTAACTGTCGATCTCAGAACAATCATGCTGTATCTCTGTCGTATTGTTAAAATCGAAGACCGCTTGATCTTTTTCATATTCCTCGTGTTGTTCGCATCCTTAACCAATTCGTCGAGATCGTCAAGTTGCCCGGTGACATACCATAAGAATGGCGTGTTTTGCATACTAAGCTCATTCCGGATTGCTGTGCGTTATCTCTCGCCACTCTAAGGGATCCGTCTGTTCTTCGCTTTTACCAAAATAATATAGTTTTCTTAGTATCTTGAATGCTTCCAAGGAAAGGTTGTTCTGCAGCGATGAAAATCTCAAAGGTTTAAACTGTCGAGGAAATCAATCGATTCATTCGTTAAAGAATACCAATTGTCTATCTAATCTGATTACCCATTGGTAGATTAAAAAAATTTTTTTCTTTCTTTCTTTATGGCCACCGGAAAAAGTTTGAAACTAGTAGTTTATAAACCGGGAATGCAGAATAGATAGTAAAATGTGCATTAAAAAGCTTTAAATGCGGGTTCTCCAACGAATGCTTCATCTAGACAAACACGATCAAGTGTGTACTAAGACCTATTCGATCACAACTTTCTCTGATCAAAATGATCGTGCTCAGATGTTTAACTTCCACATATGTCAGGTCGACCTTTCCAAGAAAAAACTTTTGATTCTTATTGTTTCCAATACCGGAGACGGCGATCCGCTAGATAACACGACGAAGTTCTTCATATTTCTAAGAGAGATCAAATCAAACACTTTCTGAATCACACGAAGTTCGCTATACTCGATGTGATTTTCGGAATCTACATTCAAAATGTCTGATTTCGTATTTAACGTTTATTAATTTAGGTCTCGGAGATATAAATTACTCAAATTTTAAGAGAAATTTTCGGAATTAGGGACTTTACCTTTTTTATGGCAAAGGCTTGGCCGATGATGCGGCGGGGTGGTGAAATTATATCCCAGTAATTCAGTTCATATCAGGTCCTGGACGCTGCTATTTTTTACTTTTTTTAAATTTTAAAATTTGTGAACTGCCTTGCCGAAGTTTGCATTCAAATGCGGAAGGATGATGTCGATGCAAAAGAGTTCACCGATTCAGTAAAACACTTTCAGTCGTGGGCGCCACCCAAACAGAATTCCGAATTAAAAATCAGGGATGAGTAGCAATAAAGTTATGCTAGATTTCTTAGAACTTGACGCTTCACAGCTTACAGCCTTACCTTGTGTTCTAGTATGTTGTAAGTTTGAAGGAAAACTTTATTCCGTGGTCATTTTTTCCTCGTTTATAGCTTCTCCGACACCAATTATTAATTTAAATCAGGAAACATGGCAAAGAGATTGTATTTTCTCCTAATGAATCAACGATGATGTATTGGTTAGGGGTACAGTATATTAATTAATATCACGCAAAAACTTCAAGGGTTAGGTCAAACTTTTTTCAAATGCAGAACGTAAGCCATTCATACCAGACGATAATGTTGTTAGGGAAATCTCAAGATGCATCTTCGATAAATCTTTCAAAGACTAATAAAACTTCCTAATCTTGGAGACAGCTTTAAAATAGTACTAGATGATTGACTGTCCGGTCACTGGAAACTGGGGTTTTGGTAAATCCAGAGAATGCGCATGAAAATGTGTCACGAGAAGGCCTGCCGACAAGAATAATATCTTTTTCAGTCTTTTTGTACAATTTAACGCGGAACAAATATTATAACGGTCAACTTTTTAATTATACATTCATTCGATAAGCTTTTCACTTTTTATTTAATAATATACGGTAATTTTATTTTTATTTAATTTCGAATTCTATTATTATTATTTTTTTTAAAAAAAAAAAAAAAGAAAAAAAAAAGGCGATTAACCCGAGGAACTCGTCGAGGCAAGCCTTGAAAGACTTACAATTAACCGCCTGAAAAAAAAAAATTTAAAAAAAAAAAAATGAAATAATAAAAAAAGGTAGAGGGCGGGTAAATTAAAAAGACGAACATGGGGAGTTTGGTGGGACTATGGAACGATAGGTGTAAATATTGGAAATTAGGCACGAATATGGGAATTTTTAAAGGGACCGTTTTTTCTTATGAAAAACAAAGAAACTCGATTCAATAAGCATATTTGGAAGTCAAGCCACTTGAGCGACTTCAGGCGTCGTAGATAGTCTACGAGAATGATAGACGAAGAACACAGGATATACCCGGGGCAAGTTTTTAAGCCAATTCCTCCTCCAGAACTAGCATAGAAAAAACTCGACTATCAACAGTCTTCACCGCCTGCTTAAGAAGATTTTCTTGGGAAGAAATTTCTATCAATACAGTCAAGGGTAATATTAAACGATGCCCTCTACCTTTTTCACTTACCTTTGATTCACCTACCTTTTGCCTGCTTTTACTGAATCCAGTGGCGAGGAAGAAAACGATGATGACGATGATGAGGTCGAAAGAGCGTCTTCCTCGACATCAAATAGATGAGCTTGGCCGAAAAGAGGAAGAATTTTTAGAAAAGGATCGATCTCTATTTGAATTTCACTTATTATTGGAAAACTACGAACCATATATTTGTGTGTTACAGATAGGTATACTGACGGGGTCGAAAGAGCGTCTTCTTCGACATCAAATAGATATGAGCTTGGCCAAAAAGAGGAAAAATTTTTAGAAAAGGATTGATCTCTATTGGAATTTCACTTATTATTGGAAAACTACGAACCGTATATTTGTGTGTTACAGATAAGTATACAAATACAGGTAGGCATGTTACTGATCGAGAGCGAAGAACCAAGCTGAAGATAGTAACCGAGAGCAATAGTTTACGGATGCAGATAAAGGTATAAGAAAAAATAGCTCACTGTGGATGTGTATTTATAATAAAATATTACATACTGTATGTGTTTATTAGTTAAATAAATTACGTCATAAGGAGAAACGCGTCAGGAAACGCGTTCAAAAAAATAAAGATGTAAAGATGAGATGCGTTTATCATAAAAATTAAATTTTAAATTATTTTATTGGTCTATTTCTTATTTATTATATCATTATTAAACACATCACATTTACGTCATATAATAACATCGTTTTATTTTTTTTCACGTTTCCTGACGCGTTTCTTCTCATGACATAATTTATTTTAATTTACACTTCTACCAGTATCCTATTTACCACTCTTCGTTATATCCTCCGTCGCAGTCTTACCAGTGTCCTATTTCACCACTCTCCGTTATATTATCCGTCGCAGTCTTCGCTTAATCCTCAACTCGATACTTGGTTCTTCACTCTGTTCTCCGTTTCACTATCGGCAACCACCTACCTGTATTCGCATACCTCTTCATAATACACAAATATATGTAAAAGCTGAGTGAAAGGTAAGTGAACAAAAAGTAGAGGTCATCGTTTAATATTACGCTAGATTATGTTGATAGAAATTTCTTTCCAAGAAATCATTCTTAAGCAGGCGATGAAGAATGTTGATAGTCGAGTTTTTTCTATGCTGGTTCTGGAGGAGGAGTTGGCTTAAAAACTTGCCCCGGGTATATCCTGTG